TCATTTCATATAGCTGCCCATCTTCTTTTCACTGGTGGATAATCTTCTCACTTGCCAGCAGTTTGGCCATGTCAGAACCATGAACCATAGCCCCAGGGATGACCTCAGATCTCAGGTTCTTTGAGTGGGTCCGTTTGAGTCCATGCAGTGTTGGAGCTAACTCACAGCACTGTTCCTTTCTGGTACATGAACTGGGTGTTTTGGAGATGTTTCAGACAAAGACRTGGCGGTGTGTGAATGTAGATTTTGATTCTTTCYATGCAGAGCARAGCCCTTCTAAGAGCTGTCCAGAGAGCACTTGTGCTCTTTKTGGATCAGAGTAGTAATGTCAGTCTGGGCTGGGAAGCAGGACGCTGGTTGTCGGGGTGTCTGCAGGGAGGGAGGTTTAAAGRATGATGAGAAATAATGGTTCTTCTGTACTTCCAGCTGGTTTAGGAGACATGAAATTTTCCCAGTAGATGCTTTGGTAGAAGCAGAGTTTGTTCTCTAAGGTAGTCCTTCACTGAGGGAAGAAAGAAAGGATTGAAGGTGATTGTGGCTGGGRGATGTGTGATGTGAGGTCATGTTGAATGCTGTGCATCTGGAACAAAGCGGGGGGTGAACAAAGGATGCAATGACAAATGGTTTGAAGGATAATCTGTATGATATCCATTCGTCCTGTTGCTAGGAGTGGTTCCTGAGGGAGACTGGCCAACACTCTTCATCTCTCTCTTTTTCAGTGAGAATTTCTCCCATGGGAAAATTTCTCCCAGATGGCTGGTTTGTTCTGCAACAAGGTTTTATCCTTCTGAAATGAAGATCAAGTCGTTCCAAAACGAGCAGGAGGAGATGGACAAAGCTGTGTATGAGAACCWGCTCCTAAAGGGAGGTTAACCTTTCCAGATTCTGGTCATTTTGGAAGTCACACCATCACCATGGCCCAGGGCAAGCAGCTGGAAATGGGRAGATGAAGAAGTGTTTTGAAGAACTTTTCCTAGATCTATGGGGCTAGCAGGAAATGAGAAGAGGTATTTTGAAGGGAAGCAATGTCTATGCCCTGTGGCCTTTACTCTCTGGACTGCTCTTTCAACAGAAATATGCTCTAGATCTGCTGCAAGCAGAAAGGTGGCTGGAATGCTGGGCTTTGTGCTTAGTTTGTGAGRGTACTATCAGAAGAAAAAAAAAGTGAATTATTCATGAGCTAAGTAGAAACCCATTCTTAATGGGGCTGCAGGGAGATATTTGAAAGCCTGTAAAGCTTCACTAGAATTTAGATTTACCATGATAATTTCCTTGAGTTCCCAGCATTCAGGTGGGTTTTATATGGCATAATCCAATATCTGCAGRAGCCAGTGATAGCTTTTAATTTATTTGAACTGATGTTAGATTGGACTTTCACTGATAAGAAGTCATTTTAGAACTATCATCAGCTGCTAAAAGGTCAGCCCAGTTCTCTGAGACAGAGTCTTAGGCTATGGTTTCTTATAAGTATTAAATTAGCTACTTCATTCCCAAATGTCTCCACATTTCCTTGATGCAGACATATTTTCTAGTCTCTGTAAGCAAATACATTCATACTTAGTTTTAGAAGGATTAAATACCTCTCTTTTGAAACTACACAGAAAAAGAGAAATATCTTCCATAAAGCTGCATTCTTGTTCTCAAAGTGTAGTTTTGCTCAGTAACAGYACCTCATCATAGCCTTTGCTTTCTGCTTTCTAATAATTTTTAATTATCAGAATCACAAACAAGTACTGGGTAAGTAATTGTTCAGAGATATCGTTCCTGGTGCAATGAGGAATATCCCTCACCTTAATCCTGTATGGCTAGTTTTTTCTTTAGTAAACTCCCTTAAGCGAGCCACATCTAATGTAGCCCTTTGCCCCTATTACTTCTCAGCCTATGGGTTTAGGTTTGGACCCCTGCATTAGCCAAGTGGTAA